CAAATTACATCACAACAGAAACGCAGTACGATGAAAAAAAAAAAAAAAAAAACGACAAAAAAACTTAATCGGAGTAATGCCTACCATGCGCCTATTTCACCAGTAAAATGTCTTTGGAGCTCGAGATTACGATCTTCTTCAAGAATCACGCTTTCCTCGAATGCGGCGGCCGCTTCTACGGTCGCGTTTGGCTCCAAATCCTCATCGTACGGGATAAAAGCAGTTCCATTGCCGTCCAAAATATCTTTCTGTTCGACTGTTTTAAATCAGATCTGTCTTTCGAAGAAATGGATGAAGAACACGGAACAGACGACAACACAATAACACGCTAGAAGTAGTTGTAGCGAGATGGTGGTGAGTTTTGGGGATAAGATGACGTCACAGGCGACCTCGATCCAATCCCTCCCCTTTGACTCGGACATTTGTTGTTTATGTAATGGCGGACCCATTTTTCCCACTTCCAGACATCTTTCTTGTGGGAACCGCTTCGTCAGATTGGTCTGAATTACATTTTTTCGTGAAGTTTGAAGTCCAAACATTAAGTTCGAGCCCAAAAATTTCGTTTAGAAAGACTACGATTTTTGTCGCAGTAGCACTTTAAAAGCAAACATTTCACAAAGCACCAAAACGTCGTCAAGAGAAAGACAACTTGGACATTCCTGTTGATATGTAAGTTCCTTTATGGTTTAATCGTCTTTGACATTTCAGTGCTATATTTATATATATTTGATAGGTAATTGATACTTCTTACTGAATCTATGATCTATGGTAACTAAATATATAAATAACTAACACAGAGATAAACAATGGTATATAAACAATAAAAAACGGTAAATAACGGTAAAAGATTTAAAAGATGATGGTGTTAAAGGATTGAACTTGCGCGTTCAATTCCGGTCCAATTTTGATGTAAATAGCCTCCTTAACTTTGAGAAAGTATGCCGTTCTAGCAGAATGTAAAATTTTAAAGCAATCATTTTAGTAACTACTTTTACAGTCTATAGAGTTGTTGGGGTGTTTAAATACATGAGAATTTCTGTCAGTTAATGTGTGTATTTAATACTTGGGCGGAGGTGGCCAAGTATAAAGTCGATTTTTCTCATCGTATTCGACACAGCTTCAATCGGGCTCTACTGCTTCTGTGTTATTTTATGTTAAGTATAATTACACAACGTTTCAATGTCGCCATGACAACATTTTCAAGTGACGAAAAGAATCTGTAACATGACTAATTTATACGATGTGAGGTGATAGAAATGATTAACATATGGTGTTGTACTTAACATTTGTGCATGTTAAGTATGTTGAAATTGAACAAATAGTTTTTCGTGGGTAGAGTCTGATTGTGTGTTCAGGCTTGGTTTATTCTTTCTTATGAACAACATTTCATAAATTAGCAAAGGGGGTTAGTTTCTGAAGAACCTGTGGTGCTGCGTCGCTGGGGAATCGAAGTGAAACACAAAAATTTGATGAAATTGCGCCTATACAGTCGTCAATGTAACGACCGTAGAGGTCAGGTTTAGGACCATCGTACTGATTGAAAAATTGGTGCTCTACGTATCCTACAAAAAGATTGGCGTAGCTGGGTCCCATTTAAGTGCCCATAGCTACACCATTAATTTGTTTGTAATAGTTGCCGACGAATGAAAAACAGTTTAGTTTTAAAACTAGTTCAGCTAGGCAGAGTAGTGTTTCTGAGCTTAATTCCGTAACAGTGCGTTGATCGAAAAAATATCTAAGTGCTTGAAGACCCTCGCTATTGGGAATGACGGTGTATGGAGATGAAATGTCCATAGTGAAAATTAGTTTGTCGTCACTGAGGAAATTGAAATCACGGAAAATTTCAAGTGCGTGTTGACTGTCTTTAATGTATGAAGGCAAAGATTTGATGATTGGTGTCATAATCTTATCTAAATAACTCGAAATAAGTTCGGTGGCACAACTACAGGCAGAAACAATAGGACGGCCCGGTTTATTAAGTTTGTGGATTTTGGGTAAAAAGTAAATACACGAGGTTCTAAGGGTAGTGATTATGAGATTGGTTGCAGTAGCCCGTAATTCTTGCTTGATTATAAGGTTCTGAATAGTGTCCTTGACAATTTTTGGTTGACCATTCTAAAGAACACATGTCTATTTGCGGCCTTTCCCTACATCAGGGCACTACAGACAGCCGTAAAAATCTAGAGCAAAGATTCATTTTTCAAATTGGCACCCTTAATCTCCACGGCATCAACGAACGCTTTTTATTCAATTAATTTTTTCCTGTTTTTCACGTGATCAAGTTCCCACCAATAGCGCAGCTCCTTCTGTATATAAACCTTACACTACCCACAATTCCTTCATTCGCTCTGACGAAGGGCTAACACTCCAAACGCCAGCTTTTCAATCTCTCTACGGTGGTCATATTACATTATCAACTCTGTTGATATATCAAATTTTTATGTCATAAATTAGACAGTATAGTTTTCAGTTGCATTTCTTCAGGTCGGAAAAGGTACTTGTAAGGTCGCCAACAGTTTTAATTCCGTGGTCCTTCTTTAAATGCTTGCTGAAAAACGGGGTTCATCAATACATTTGCAAGTGCCAGCTAGTATGACTAGTAGTTGTCGTATGTTAGTAGGTTTTGTGTTTTTTTTCGGAGTTTCGTAGTTTCGTGGTTTCATAGGTTGCGTGGTTACTTACATTTCGAGAGCAGGAAAACGACCACACGGATGCCTCCACATCACCGAGGGATAACTCCGTTGGGCAAATCTTGCGCATTTTACAATACGGATTGAGTCAATTTAAAGCAATGCTACATTTTCAAAAAAAAGCAGGGGATGCAAGCTGTCAGTTTCTTAAAGCTGCCGTTCATGTCTTGTGCTCTAATCCACGCATGCTCTTTGCTCAAGACAAGCAAAAAGAACTCCGACATTAGCGCACGAGTCTCTTCTTTTGGTTACAATGTAGGGCCTGTTCCTGGCGATGGGAACCGCTTTTTTCATGCTGTTTCATTCCAGCTTTTGAAATTAATGTCAGGTGAAAATGGTCGATCCATCCAAGAACGTCTTCTCAAATTAGGCATATCACCGAACCAGAGCATGGCTTCAATTGCAGCTGTACTCCGTCAGAGGATAGTCGATGAATGGCAAGGACCATTCATGGAGGAATATCACGATTTTTTCATGATTCGAAATTGGACGTCCATACAGAGGCAGAAAATTTTCGTCAGGGCGGAGAATTTAGTTGTCCTTTAGGAGACACGATGCCATTAGCTATGGCTAACATTTTGCAGATGCCTATTGTACTTATTACTTCTGCGCAAAATATGCCTATAGTTACAATAATGCCAAGACGTATTACGGATGAAGTGAGTGTAGTCCTTGCGTACACGCAAAGAGGCGCAGGTTATTATGATGCTGTAACCCAAAACAACATTGCAAAGGTTGGCGGGCACTCACCTGACAATGATAGCGCAAAGATGATGAAAGAAAGCTGCAAAGGTATCTGTCACCATCAGCTACACATTACTATGGTTTCTCGGCTGATGCTGCAAGTGCCTTACAATTTGGAAACCTATGGAACCATGAAACCATTGACACCAAGAAACCTATGAAACTATGAAACCATTGACACCACAAAACATATGAATCCATGAAACCCTTGACACCACGAAACCTATGAAACCACGAAACCATTGACACCACGAAACCTATGAAACCACGAAACCATTGACAGCACGAAACCTATGAAACCATGAAACCACTGACACCACGAAACCTATGAAACCATTGACACCACGAAACCTATGAAACCACGAAACACATGAAACTATAAAACCATTGACACCACGAAACCTATGAAACTGTGAAACCATTGACACCACGAAACCTATGAAACCATGAAACCATTGACACCACGAAACCTATGGAACCATGAAACCATTGACACCACGAAACCTAAGAAACCATGTAGCTATTGACACCAAGAAACCTATGAAACTATAAAACCATTGACACCATGAAACCTATAAAACCATGTCACCATTGACACCATGAAACCTATGAAACCATGTAACCATTGACAACACGAAACACATGAAACTATGAAACCATTGACACCAGGAAACCTATAAAACCATGATTCCATGATACTTTCATTATATGACATAGACATTGGCATATACTAATTAGCCTAAATTCGTGCACCGTAACACCAAGTTGTAACCGAAACCCATCAACTGCTTTTCTCATGGTAATCATGGCAAGTGGTATTGCTCGTGGGCGCGACCGCACGACGACGTAGCACAATAATTAATATTATCCTAATGATAATAATAATAATAATCCAACATGGCGGCCATACCCCAGCTGACCTCCAGCTGACCACCCAGTTTACAGCAGACGTGTTTGATATTGGACATCCATGCTGTGGTCAGTTAATACCTGTCAAAACAAGGTATCCACTGACCAGTATCAGGTGACCATATTGCGGGCTCAAGTTGAGACCACATCGAGGTCAGCTGTTTTTTTGAAGTTGACCGCTGACCAGCTACTGGTTTCTGATTGGATCGCAGGTTTAAGCCAGGCCAAAACGGAGCTCCGCTTTTAGGCTTGGCTAAATCCATATATTAACTGATATTTACAAGGCTAAAAAAATTTTTTAAAAGTAAAAACCGAACGTTTTAGACCTGGAGTCATCTTATTATTATTATTATTATTATTATTATTATTATTATTGTTAGGGTAGGGTTGGGGGCAACAAGTAAAGAAAATCTCTCGAAATTTTGACGTCTCCAAAACAGCAACTATGTTATATGTTTAAGTGGAGATTAATATTTCCTTGTCTGTGGCGAATATTGCAGGTCAAACAGAAAGCTTGGACCAGAAATATGGAAAAACTGTAAAGTGAATGAGGTGGAAGCACTTTCTTACGACATTGACGGACTGTGTGTATATAAGCTCCCGTTCAAAAAGGATGCAATAATGCAAAGTTTGGCGGATGGAAGGCCCTGAGGCAGATGGAAGTGTTCAAGCAGAAAGAACCTTAATGGAACATGCCAAGTAGCTGAGTGTGGCAGGACGTACGAATGCGATAACTTGGCTTGTCCCTATTTAAAGACTTACAGGCACAAGAACAACGTACAGTTCAAAAAGCTTCCTCCTGAAGTGGTTTGCTCTTGCTGTGGATATAGCGCAAAACCAATAGCATGTTTTGCGAGAAAGATTTGGGAGTTTCCCGACGGTGCCAGCCATGTACTAGTTTACCACTATGGAACCCACAAATGCACGGCCATCAAACCAAGTATCGACGTTTCAAGTGAAGTGAACAAATTTTTTAAAGAAAACAGCTCTGCAAAACCTTCTCAATGTGCATACGAGTCTTTAAAGGCTACCCTTCATGACACCAAAGATGTTAAAGACGTGTACGAGAAAGCTCAGGGTTACGCAGACTACAAGAAGCTACAGAATGTCAAACAAAAAGTCCTGGAGAGCATTAATCCCTTGGGACATTCTTTTGATGCTATAGCGACGATAAAGGAAGCTGCTGATAAAGTGGACAAGTTCCTTATATTTCGTGCAGAAGATGGCAGTCTTTCTGGAAGTGAAAACATGTTTGTCTTTAGAAGTAGCCGCGAGAAAGTGGAAATGATGTACCAAATGCAACGGGGTAGCGGATCTTCCTTGGCTGAGCAATACTGTTTTCTGGATGCAGAACATGACCGAGTACAGAAGATGAAAACTATCAACTTGAGTGGGAACATCCAGCCTTAAAAGATTTTGTCACTTCGGCATGCATGGACTGTCAAAGTGAAAGCACCAAAACACTTAGCGAGTTTTGGTTGCAGGTCAACAGTGTAAGTGTATGACTTGGTCGTTTACTGAAAAATGCATTTCATTTCCTGATCTCGCAAGTGGCGAAAAAATTAAGTGTAATGGATGCTATTTCTTAAGTGCAACAGCATTTTAAGAGGCTCAATAGCCTGGTTGTCCAAAACTAAGTCGAATTTCTCCGAAATGGCTTTCATTTTTCTGTAATGAAAAGTAACTTTAAACTTCACATATGGTTTCTGAGAACTCCTGTCAACTGCACAAACGTTGTGGCCAAATCAATTAACCCGAGGTCTCTGGGCAATCAAAATTTGTACTAAATAGAGGAGAGAAGGATGACATCGAATTTAATATAAAGATAAAAAGTTAATTAATTTCATTGATGAATGCATTTATTATCTCACAGGCTCTACGTGAATTTACTGGAGATCAGGGATACATCTTCGATCCAGAGGGTTTCGTAACAGACGAGCATGGAGGAAATAGAGAGAGCATCCGTAGAATGCTTAAGCCTGGTGCAGTGGACAGAGCAAAGTCATGTGAAAACCACTTCTACGACTGTGGTCACAAGCAAGAAAGGAGAGATTGGAGCTCTGGCTCTAAATTAACTTTCAGATGTTGCACGAAATATATCACGCACCTACCCCTGGCGCATTTGAGGCAAACAGAAGAACACTAATTGACTGGACGGACAAAAAAACAGAAAAACGAGGCCATATTAAATCCTGGTTCGACAAATTTTGGTTCAAAAGACGAATGCACGTATTCCGTGCCTTTAAGAGTGCAGACACGCCTAATACCAATATGGCAGAGGCAGGCCACTCGCTAATGCCACAAGAGGTGCCAAAAATAAGTCGCTGGCCACAGTAGCCAAAGAACATATTGTCGAATGTGCTCTGCTGAAATCGAAATTAGAAATGCATGAAAGTGGAACCTACAAAGGGGGCCATTGCCCAACACAACGTCAAAAACACACAGCGACATTTAGAAGGCAGAGAGACCGAGCTGCTCAATTTGCGAAGGAGCTCAAAGCAGGAGACATCAATCCACGCCTTTACTCTACCTCATCTTTGTTGACCCTTCTTTGAGTCACAGAGTACCGAAAAGAACAGGGATCTCTACAAGTGATGATATAGGCGCCTAAAGCGCCTCGTCTTCCTCGGAAAATGAAAGCACACAGGCAGAAGGACGAAAAACTGCTAAGGCTTCCTTCAGAAAACGAAAGGGAAGAAGCAAAGTGTTCCAAAAGTCGCTCTCGATGGCTAAGCGAACAAAGTCAGTAACGTTGACGCAAATATATGATGCTGGGCCCACAAGAAAGGTGTTCGAACTGATAGACGGCGAAAGGATAAGATTAGCAGACATAAGCGAAACACCTACTTCTGACTGTGGCATGGTCTCTTCCAGAGACATATGCATGCATGTCATATGGGTCATGCTGAGAAAATTGAATGTCAATGAAAATGATGACATTATTCAGCAAAAATCGATTCCAGTTGCCCGGGTCAAGAAGCTTCTGAGAAGTGAAGAGCATGCCGCAAGCAGTGGGTCACTGCGAGTTTGACTAGTGGAGTCTCCGCTGCAACTACAGCTTTACCACCTGTGGCAAGTACAACAGCCATCAGTGGAGGTTTCTTCCACAACATTGGAGTCTCCACAACGAACATTGCTATACCACCTGCGGCAAGTACAACAGCCATCAGTGGAGGTTTCTTGCCAAACAGTGGAAGCTCCATAGCGAGCAGAGCTATATCACTTTCAGCAAGTACAACAGCCATCGGTGGAGGTTTCTTACCAAACAGTAGAAGCTCCACAACGTGCAGAGCTTTACCATTGGCGGCAGGTATAACAGCCATCAGTGGAGGTTTCTTCCACAACATTGGAGTCTCCGCCACGAGCAAAGCTCTGCCACCTGCGGCAAGTACAACAGCCATCAGTGGAGGTCTTTTACCAAACAGTAGAAGCTCCACAATGTGCAAAGCTTTACCACCTACAGCAGGTGCAACAGCCATCAGTGGAGGTTTCTTGCCAAACAGTGGAAGCTCCACAACAAGCAGAGCTCTACCACCCGCAGTAAGCACAACAGTCATCAGCAGTGGATTCTCTAACAGTTTCACAAGTGGAGGTCTCTTGCCAAAATACCAGCAGCCTATCCACACTTTCCTCCCCATGTCTATCAAAGGCACCAGAAGATGCCTTGGCACAACACAACCCATTTGTAATTGTCCCGATTAACAATAGGATAAAGAAATATGCAGGATGCCCATTTGCATTTTTGGACGCCAGTGGTCCTACCTTTACTGGTTTGGTTGTTTGTTAGAACAAATCAATGCCTAATATAAGTTTTAGAAATACCTCAGGAATAAAAATGCATTATGTGAGTTTTAATTTCGGTCGCGATCTTGGAGAATTGCACAGTCTATTGACAGTTTTTTCTTAATTCTTGTATTGCGCGGGACTTGTGCCCAGGTTTAATTCGCATTGTCCTCTACAGATTGTTTTCACCCACATGGTCATATGGCCGCCGTGACGTCATTTGAAAACCATCTGTTCAAATTGTTCCATATTGCGACTGCATGAGAAATTTTCTTTTTAATTAAGGTCTACCTGGGAAACATTTGAAAAATTGAAGGCAATTTTTAGGGAGGATCCTAACTGCGATCCTAACTGCAATCGTAACTGTACCAATAGTTTATCCCTCTTTAAGCACTCATAATGCATGATGTTATAGGAAGACCCAAGATCGTATTACATAAGCTTAGAGAGGGTCTTGCAACATTGGACTTTTGGTGTACGAAGGAAAGAAAACCCACAAATGTTTGAAAAGTTGTTTGTGCCTATATCTACTGATTTGAGTGGCATGGATCTGGTTAATGTCCTTGATTTCCCCGTATCAATGAATGAACATGAAAGGGAAACACGTTCCTTTCTCAGAATTTTTTTACTGAATTCTGATGGCGAAACTTAAAACACTTTCTTGTCTTCACTACAGGTGCTGCTTGTCTCCCAAATTTTGGTTTGGGCAAATCAAGGTGAAGTATGAAGAAACACCTTCAATTTTTGCTTCAACATGCCTACAAAGCATCAGTCTTCCCAAGAATTTTACTGATGAAGCCACTTTCTTCACAGCAATGACAGTAGTCGTAGACACTCGATACATATCATTTAACCATGTTTAATTCTCACATTTTTTCAGACTTTCATGCAAATCAACAAAAGTCCTTCAAGTTCCTTATGTTGAGGCTGGGTTCCCTGTTTTTCTTGTTTTCCCGCCCTTTTAGATCATGTGATGAGTTTTGTTGTTGTACGGAGTTACTCGCTGTATCAGTTGGAGCGATTCACACGAAGTAACGAAGTTTTTAACGCTTGACAATGTATATATCCTTGTTTGTACGGATTGCTTGGTCTTGTCCGATGTATATATACCCTTGCTTGTACGGATAGGTTTGTTCGTCCAAATAAAGGCCAGTTTACAAGTGGATTGCATCTTACAGTTACTTCGTTTTCCTGTTGGACTGTTGGTTGAATCGAGTCTTGTCAGTCTCATTGTTGTCTTCGATTTGCAGAGTTTGCCAATGAAGTGAGCATCTCATCGTAAGCAAATTGTCAGAGATATTTTCCGTCTATGAAGAATTTTGTTGTGTTGATACATGAAACCGTGCATGTTGTTGAATCAAGTTTGTCATGTCTGTGTGCGATTCGGCGAGTGTTGACATCGAAAGCAATGGAACGATTGCTGCAGGCGAAATGGCAACTCTTTCGGAGACTGATTTTCCGCCTTGTAATACACAAGCAAATTCTACAGTCCTAGAGGCCTTTCCAATAAAGTCGGGCTACGTGACAAAGGGGAGCAAAGCCACAAATTTACCTTTGGACGATGAAGTTGAATTTCGTGGGGAATTGTGGAATGGACAAGGACTCGCAAGTACGGACGAGACCGTGATCGAGAATCCAAACTTAGAAAGCGCATCTGCTGGCACCACGAGCATCGGCGAAAAAAGAGAACGCAAGTAAACGGAGAAAGGTAAATCCTATAAACTTGCTCGAGATGTCTGTGAGCGAAAGAGACTCAAGAGAAAAACACAGGCACAAATTGCTAATATTCAGACACTCATGGGACCGAATAGAAACCTGGAAAAGGTCAGTCAGGAATGCATTAAATTAAATGAACGATTCAAGTTGTTTGGGGATCTTCATGAGAGATCCAGGACTTGCCGAGTGGAAAAGAGCAAGCACAGGACTACCAGGTCTACATTAATTTGCATGAAGAGATAGTTCCCTTTCGTGAAGTGGTTCAGAAATGGATGACTACTGCTGAACAGCAACTCAGAGATGAAGAAAGGGAAAGGAATTCAACCAAGTCAAGTCTGAAGTCCAAAAATAGTAAAGCCTCCCGTGCATCCACCACCTCCTCTAGAACAAGAGCCTTGGAAACCAAAGCCAAAGAAGTTGAATTAAGGACGAGGATCGCACAACTCGATCAAGTGGAAACTGCAAAAAGAGAAGTAGAAAGAACAAGGTTGATAGCTGAGTGTACAATTGCTGCTGCTGTTAGCAAAGTCTACGAGGACGCAGTAAAGGAGGATGCAGAACAATACCTAGGATCAGATAACCCAGACAAGGATGATGCTGTCATGAGGCCGAGGTCGACCAAAGAAAGACCATTACAACCATCATTTAACTCAGCGACAGGAGAGTCAGTTGGCACCTTGAATCCTCATGCACCAGAGTTTGTCCATTCTTCCCCATCACCTTTACAACCACAGGCTAATACTGGTTTGAGCTCAGCTACCCGACTCGCAGAAGAACATAAAGATTGTACTGCTGTATAAAATACTTTGCGAAATGTGCAGACATGTCAAGAATCATCACCAGTTGAACAAACCTCTTCTAATAAAGAGACTGGATGTGAACCTCAAGCAACCTTCTGAGAAAGGATGGAACTAAGACTGTCACAGCCACCACCTGAGCCTTCCCCTTTAGATGGGGACCCAGCCAAGTACCTACGTTTTAGAGCAAATTTCCGGGAAAGTTGAATCTAAAAAATCACTGTCTGACAGCAAGAGATTGAACTATTTGATGTCCTACACTACAGGTAGAGCGAAGGCAGTAATTGAGAACTACAATGGGTTACCAAATGGATGTCAGTTGGCCCTCAAGGTGTTAGAGCACAGATTTGGACAAAGTGCCATGATACTCCAAGCCTTTAAATCGTCTGTTACCAATGGGCCAAAGATAAGACCTGGAGATAACTCTGCACTCCTAGCCTTGTCTGACAAGATTGAGAACTGTTGCTGGGCAATGTCTGAGTTGCGGTCATGTGAACTTGATTGTACCACTAACTTGAGACACATCTATGATCGTTTGCCAGGTCACCTTCAAAGAAAGTGGAGAAAGACTGCGATGTCATATCGCGAGAGGTCGCGTGGAAGAGAGCCGGACTTAAAGGAGCTATCCAAGTTTATTACTGCTCAGTCGCAAATTGAGAATGAACTGGTGTATGGCAGAAAGAGTGAATCACAAACAAAGTTCAGTGTTGGCAGGAACCCCAATAAAAAAGCACTTGAAGAAAGGGCTGGTCCGACGATTTCCACTCTAGCAACAGAGGTCTGGACACAAGAAAACAGAGGTAATCAGGGAACAAAGAAACCCGTAACTGCCAGTGAGCAAGGAAGTAATGGGGGCAACCGCAATCAAGGCGAATACTGTAAAGTCTGCAAGGGAGCCCATGCTATCTCAAAGTGTTCGGTGTTCCTGTCTAAGGGCGTAGGTTGGCGGAGACCATTTGCGAGGTTTAGGGCTCTTTGCTACCGATGTCTGTGTCACACTCATTTGCAAAGGAACTGCCCAGAAAAGACCAGTTGTACTGAGAAAGACTGTGCTCGTCCACAAGATCACCAATCGCTGTTGCATATTTCGACAAAAAACAAGATTGAGGATGTTAAAGGCAATCCTGAGCAGAGTTCCCCGGTAGTGTCCAATTTGTCAGTGAACAATGCAACGACAGAGAGTAACAGGAGGAGCTTTGTATTGCTCAAAGCTGTTCCACTTAGAGTGACTGCTGAAAATGGGAGAACACTCACTACGTATGGTATGTTAGACTCAGCTGCTGTTAGCTCAATGATCACTTCTAACATTGCATACAAACTGCAACTTCAAGGAGTTCCAGAGAAAGTTAGCATAAACACTGTCACTCAAAGAGACCAAAATCTTGAATTATGCAAGGTCAAATTCCAGATCAGCTCAGCAAGCCAAGGAAGTCTGGCCTTCCCAGTGTATCACGCCTTGTCAGTGAAAAGTTTGAATGTGTCCGACCGTTACTGCCCAAGTCAACTGGATTTGTCTCCTTGGCCACACCTCAGTGGTTTTCAATTGCCAAATACTGCTGTTGATGTGAATGAAGTCTCTGTGTTAATTGGCCAAGACGTACCTCAAGTTCACATGGTTATTGACTATTGCTGGGGAGACAGTCCACAGAGTCAGCCATACAGAATGAAGACCCCCTTTGGATGGTGCGTAGCCGGGCCAACCAACAGAAAGGAGGATGAAAACAAGCCTGTTGCACTATCAGTCTTCGAATTTGATTAGGCTGAAGACAAGCGAGACATGACACTGCACAAACAAGTTGAAAAGTTCCGGGCTTTAGAATCACATGGATTCAGGAGTGATGGCACTTCAAACAGTCTTGAAGACAAAAGAGCCCTTGAAATCCTAAAGAGAACAACTGAGCTGAAGGATGGAAGGTATAAAGTTGGTCTTTTGTGGAGAAATGATATTCCTGAGCTGCCGCTGCAGCAACTTAGACGGCGTTTCCAAAGTAGTCCCGAGTTTGCCGCCCAGTACAAGACAGTCATGAATGACTACATAGACAAGGGTTATGCACTGAAATTGTCGGAAGAAGCGGCTTGTACCAGCAGCCACACATGGTACCTTCGCCACCATGGAGTGATCAACCCAAACAAGTCTAAAGTAAGGGTGGTGTATGATGCAGCTGCGAGATTTCAAGGGACCGTGCTTAATAAGGAACTGCTACAAGGCCCGCTGCTTAACAACTCGTTGGTAGGAGTATTGATGCGGTTTAGGAAGGATGAAGTAGCAGTAGCTTCTGATATAGAAAGTATGTTTCATAGAGTGGCTTGCAGAGAGGACGACAAAGACGCACTCCGATTCTTATGGTGAGATGGTAGTTTAGACGAACCACCTAGTGACCATAAGATGACAGTACATTTGTTCGGGAAGGCAGATTCGCCATGCATTGCTGCTTGGGCATTACAGCAGACTGCTGCAGACAAAGAGGCTGCCTTTGGAGAAGAAATTCACAAAATTGTCCAGAAAAATTTCTATGTAGCAGAGATCTCCGTAAGCCCCGGCGACCGGCGAAAATCGCCGTCTAGTCGTCCTTGGCGCGCCGGCTACTCAGATCCAAATAAAAAAATATTTATTTTGGAAGATGGAAAAATTCACTGTGTAAACTTTTCACTTCAAGCGCAGTGATAAAAACAAATGCATTACCGTTTCCAAGTTGAAATAAAACTGTAATTAAAATCAAAGTTTTGGCATGAAAATTGAAAATAGGTGAAATTTGATACAACGTCTTGCCGCTTGTAATCGCGGCATTTTTCACGTGTGCACCGACCCGTGACAGCAGCACGGAAAAATTTTTTCATGAGAACAGAAACGTAATTGCAACAAATGAGAACCGAAATGAAGCGACTGGCAAAACAACAGACACTCTTCAACGCGTGGAATAAAAGGCCCAAAGAAGGCACAGAACAAGGTAGGTTGATTTTCCTTTGTAAATTTTATTTCTATTTATATCCGAATCGAAAGTACGCATAATTAAATTTTGTACTTTCAACACGTCGCCAACGCGATCAGCCCGACCGACACGGAATATTTTAGATTCAATAAACATACAAAAAATGTTCCTTTTGTTCATGTGCTTTCATTTCTTTGATCAACCCGTTCGGTAAGATCTGATCTTTGTGGGACTGTAGAACATTTTCAATTTTGCAAGGTGTTAAGTTTGAAAACGTCGCAGAAAACGTGACTGAAAAGCGTGGCTTGATGCACCCGCATTTTTTAAAAAAAATAAAGACTACATTCTGCAAATTTATAAGAAACAGATGAACGATCGATCCATCGATCGAAAAAAACGAACGAACAAAGCAACGACTGAATGAAACAACCCGAACAAAAAACCCTGAACATTTCTTGGCCGGCTTTGTTGCTAGAAATTCGTCAACGAAATGCATTACAAATTTGCAGGGCGGTTTTTGAAAATGACGTTTTTCATTTTTCGTTCTCGGCTTTCCCTGAAAACAAGTAAAGAAGTGACAAAATACAACTCAAAAAATTTAAACTTAAATTTAATTTACCCCTTAAAACTTACATTCTTTCAGTTCCTGAGATAATTTTCCCGCGGACTTAGGAACCCACGCACAGAATTCCAACGGAGAATCCGTAGATTTGGTCAGGAAAGTTTTTATTCTTCATCTAAGCATTTTGAAGACTACAAGTAATAAAATAACCTAGTTTTCTTTTTTTACGGGAACGTTATAATACCCCATTTCTAGAAAAGATTTTTTAAGATTGTCTTCACGAGTTTTCAGTCATTTAAATGCACTGCAAATTGATTGTTTTAATTTTTATATGAAAATTAGGGTTAACAGGCAATGTAGGCAATCCTTTAGTTTGCATTATCAATTTCCCAGCACTTGATGAAGAGGATTCCTGTACAAGTGCCAGCATCCAAGAACCCTCGCCTTCTAAATCGTCTGGCACTGTCGGCGAAACAGCATCTGCGAATGTTACGTCACGGACTTCTACTCCTCCTAAACTGGAACACAAGGAAGCCATGAACCTACTGGAAGAGTACTTTCCCGAGGCTTTTAGCGGAAAAACCCTGCACAGTTATTACACCTGTTCAGGCTCGTGTACAGAGCTTTCCAAACAAGAGCAACAAAAGCAACAAGGAAAAGGTGACAAATTCCAGCACAAATGGCTATTCGATG